CCCAAAGCTGTCTCTAACTTTAGACTGTTAGCTGCATTGTGTTTTGCTCTATTCAAGCAAACAAGCCAGCAAAAGGCAGTCTCTGTTGACAACAATATTGATCATGCATCATTGCAATTTATGTTATATGCAAGCAAGGCAAGTAAAGCTGTAACACTATGAATATATGTAACCAGTCTGATGTAATTGTGTATAATATATTTTGAGCTTTAATGCATCTTTTGACTTCAAAAATCGGAGGGGTATGCAACCGCTTACTGCTGTATAAAAATTAAGAAAGTGGTCTTTTTTTTCACCAAGTTTTCTTAATGTTTATTTTAGCTCAAAACTGTTGTGGATGTATTGTGTTGCATTCATATCTGTAAAAAGAAAAAAAAATCTTGAAACTGTTTACTTAAGGTGTGCAGAAATAATTTGGTTTAGTGTACCCAAGTTAACTCAGTTGAGTGCATCAAGAAATTAAGTTTGATGAGAAAGGGGGAATGAGGTAAAAAAGGCTGAGAACCACTGAGTAGAGTGATTAATTTATACAACATGTGTACACCTGCACTTATACAGAGTTAACATTTAAATACTGTGTGAAATTTTCGTTTTATGTGGAACTGCTTCAACAGGATTACAAACTGATTCAAAAGACTGAAAAAGTAATTCAAAGAGCTACCACAAAACCCATATATTTTTGTAACTAGCAGCGTATTTGTCTGCTTTTAATTTAGCATGCATTCTTCATAACATCATAATTAGATACATTCATTTAATTTTTGGTTGGGAATGAGGGGTGTGTTTACTAAGCCCAACAAAACAATGTTTTCTTTGCTGCATAATATCATGTTTCATGTAAAATACCATCTTCAACAAATAACAAGTACATAAGCTGGATTTTGTTTGTGTTGCTAAATAAAATCTGTAAATTTTATGCTATTCAAATCTAAACATTTAAAAATTTATCTGTCTTTCTGTTCCTTTCAGCTAAAGATTCTACACCTATATACTCAACTGCTTAGTTCATACCTTGCTGTTCATTTTCAGCTTAAAATTTGGAACTTAAAAAATTCCATCTTCATAGACCTTTGAACGGATCAGGTGCCTTCCCTTTCTGTGTAATGTAAACCCTTGCCAAATAGATAGGTTATGTCATTAATACATTGCACTTATGGCAGAATAATGTTCTACTAAGTTAACTTTCTACGAAAAAAGTGTGTTACGTATAATTCTGATTAGTAAAGTATGTTTAATTTAAACCAACCTAACTATTGTAATTAAAATGGGAAAATGAACAAAAATTTAATTCAAATAGCTTTAATTACACTTTAGTAAGACATGATACAATTATTCCTTTTTTAAATGCTGGTGATTTTTAATTAGGATGATAACTGATGCAACTCTTTAAAAATGTTGTTGTAAGAAGTACAGAGTTTCTCAGTGCCTCTCATAAAGCCTGTCATAAAGTTCTCATTTTCACAAAGTCCTTTCTTTATTTAAGTTGATCCCCATTGCAAAATCAGACAGTTCGTATGTCTTTTTTTAAACAATTTGTTTAACTTCTTGCATTATCTTGTTCATTTTCACTGCTTTCACTATTTGCTGGTGTTATAAGATCACCATGCTCTTCATTCGTTATATCATTATAATTTTTTTTACTTTTCTTCTTTTCCATATTAGAAAATTCTTTGCTACCAGTTGCTTTTGCTATTTGTATGATTTCTTTGGCTTCATTTTCAATTAATGGAAATCCTTTAAAATTTTTGATAACTTCTGGCCAGTAAGCATTCATTGTTGATGAATGAATGCTGAACCATGTATAAATGAAATTTTAGTTTTGGACAAATTAGATGCAATTAAGATAACACGTATTTTTTGAAATCGCATTCTGCAAATCCATGCTTGGCTAGGGTTTACTGACATCATGTGCTTGAGCCTTAATTAAAATGGGGTGGTTTCAGATCATGTAAGCAGTTGTATTTTTGCATTGATTACATAATTCCTTAAATTAGCTGCTAAAGTATCATGTTATAATGAGTTTTTTTTTTCCTTTTTTGTATATTAAAGATCTTCTGTTTAATATGCATATTGCTTTAATTTGCAGCTGTGCAATTATGGTTTTCTACTTTCAGGTAAAGAAATGTAACAAGGAAATTTTTAAGAATCCTAAATTGGCTTACAAATATAATCAATGATTGTAATATTTACTGTTTCCTAAAACAAAGTTGCCAACTCTCCCGATTTAGGTGGGAGACTCCCGATTTTCGACCGCTCTCCCCCCAACCCGATTTACAATATATTTCTCCCGACTTTTTCTTATTCTTAATATTTCTCACGATTTTTATGGAACTTGGCTTAATACTTCGTTATATGAACAAAAAAAAAGTGATTTTGGACGTCTGAAAGCAACTGAATTTTCTCTAGATTATATCTAAAATGAAACCTTGCGAATCAGATGAGAATTTCTGCTTTGTGATTGACAGCCTACGTATCCAGCAACGTCGTTCTCCAGTTGTCCAATGGGCATCGAGCTCCACTGCGTGTCATCTGGCATATATTATCCAATGAGCACAAAGCAAGCTCAAGGCCGTTGGCCGTTTTTTTTTTGTTCTTTGGATGTTCTTTCGCTATTTCGTTCATCTTGTCATGAGTTGTGTGAGTAAACGTGCCTTTAGGAAATAGTTTTAGAAATTATCGTCTTTTGATATGTCTGCGAGAAAGGTGAAATACTCGTGCACATTTCAAAAATCGTACACAGTTGACTTTCCTTCCATTATTTCTTCAAGGAAATGTAATAAATTTGCGATGTGTACCATCTGTCGTTGCGATTTTTCGATTTCGTTTGGTGGAAGGGCAGATGTTCTCAAACATGTGCGTACACAAAAACACAAGGACAACATGAGTTGTTTTGAAAAAACGGAAAATTAAATTTTTCTTCGGAAACAAAAAGACCAAAAAGTGATTAATGCAGAATGTCTGTTCTCTGCCTTTTTACTGGAGCACAACCTGCCACTGAATGCATCGGATCACGCTGCAGCTTTATTTAGAAAAATGTTTCCCGATAGTGAAAATCGCTAAGAAATACTCAAGTGTGCAAGGACCAAAACAAGTGCAATTTTAAAGAAATGGGGTTTTGAAAAATAAATCTTCAGTTATTGATTGCATTAAAACAGCTCCGTTCTGCCTCTCTACAGATGGAAGCAATAATACCAATTCAAAACTGTATTCAATTGTTGTTTCTTTTTTTAATCCAGAGTCTTCAGAAATTGAGTGCAGTTTACTTTCTGTCCCCACTTTAGAAGGACATTAGACAGGCTTTAATACAGCACAGCTAATTATTAAAACTTTAAAATAAAATGCAGTCCCTCTGGATAATTGCTTAGCGCTTGGTGCCGATAATGCACCAGTAATGGTAGGCTTGAAGACTGGTGTTGCAGGCATCTTAAGAAAGGCAAATTCAGATTTGCAGATTATGAGGTGCACCTGTCACCTCTTAAATTTAGCAGCTGAAAAAGGGGCAGCTTCTTTACCATTAAATGTGGATGAACACATTGTTGATATTTATTATTATCTTGAAAGGAGTTCTAAAAGAAAGGAAAAATTGAAACAGTTCCAACAACTGCATAATACTGAAATGAGAAAAATTTTGATTTTTTGTAATTTCATCATTCAGCAATTCAACTGGCAGTTCTCAAAATAATACTGCAAAATATAAGCGTAAAGCTGATACAAATTTCTCTCAAAATAATATTTAAAAAAAAAAAAAAATTGCTCAACACACGAAACATTTTCCGATTACCGTAAGTTTATCTTGTGAAGAACGAATATTTATGTTTTTTTCTTAGGACCTTAACAAAGCTTTTTGCTTTTTTTTTTTTTACAATTCATTTTGCCATCATTCGATGTTCTGAACACAATTATACAAAGCAGAATTCCATTAATTCATGTTTTGCAATCAATGATTTATGATCTGTTTAAAGACATTTTATCAAAGTTTGTAAAACCAGTCTGTGTTTTGTCTTGTAATTCTATATATGATGTGATTTATGGTGAAACTGAAAATCAGAAGGAAGATGAAGATTTGGTAATAGGAGCTGCAACTACAAAAGTAGTGGAAGAACTTTCAGAAGACAAAAATAAGTTTTATCTTCATGTTAGAAGTTACTTCTGTCGAGTATGTGATTACACACTACATAAATTTCCAGTCAACGATAAAGTGATTTTGCATGCTAAAGTTGCTGATGTTTCTGCTCTAGCAAATGCATCTTTTTTTTATATAAGGTACTTTTTGAACAGATTTCCTGTGTTACTTCGTTTAGTCATGAAAGATGATGATATTGATGTTGCTACTGATATACTGCAGTCGCAATTTTGAAGTTTACAATTAGAAAACTCGGATGAAGTTATAAAATCAGCTAGGATTGACACCCAGTGGAGGTTAATTGGAAAATTGAAAAGTGCTGATGGAATTTTAAAATATAGTGAACGCTCTAGAATTATATCTTGACGGTTCCCCATAGTAATGCGGAGTGTGAGAGGATTTTCAGTGTTGTTGCGAAAACGAGGACTAAATTTAGATCTAATATTAGTGATGACACATTAGAAAAACTTTTATTAGCGAAAGCAGGCCTACGTGGCAATTGCTATGAACAAAATTATGAAGTTTCTTTCTTAACGAGAGCAAAATCTGCTACTGTCCATAACATTTGTATGAAAACTGATTAAAGTGCCTTTTTTTTTTTTTAATGATTAAAGTAATAAAAATGTTTATGTCTAAGGTATTTTTGTTTTGCTTGCATTTAAGACTTAGTAACTATTTAAAGTTAATTCATTATTAAAAACTATATTTTTATCATTTAAAAAGTCTTTTTAACATTGTGAAGAAATCTCCTGATTTTTGAGTGTCATAGGTTGGCAAGTATGCCTAAAATTTAGAACTTCCTCCTTTTATGAGGTGGTAATAGGCATATGTACCTAAAGCATAAATAAATTTAAGCCATGTATATTTTTCATTACAGGTGGAACTAGAAAATTTAAAGAAGTTAGAAATTGAAGAAGAGAAAATTAAAACTGAAAAAGAAGGTAGGATTTTTACGTGTATTTATTTAAATATCTTTACTTTTGTTAATTTGATCTTAGATAATTGAGAATGTCAAATACTTTGAACATAAGCTGTAATTCCCTTTCCCCCAAAAAAAAGTTTCAAATTATTTCCAGGATATTTTGATCTCAATAACTTAACTAATCTCTGTGGTTTCAAATTAATGAGAGTCTGCAGTATATTCTTGTTTTGCTGTTATTGCTTATTACTGCTAGAATCTCCTTCCTCCCTCTGCACATGTTTTAATTTCGTGATAATTCATGTAATTTTAAGTTTCATGATACATATTTAATTATTTTCGCATGAATTTTTCTTTATTTTCCATACTTGAAATAAATCTTTTTTCAAGCACTAAAAGACTTTAAAAAGGACCTACGGCGAGAAACTCCAAAGTGCCATATTAATATCTAAATTTTTTGTCTACATTTTCAAACTTTTAGCCTAAAATGTCTCCAAAAACGCGGTTTTCACACTTACAAAAACCATGTTTTAAACACACAATTTAAGGTAAAAATCCGAAATAAAAAACAAAAAATTTAGATAGCAAAAACGTAAAGCTTTTAACCAAAAATATTTGACAAGAATCCATGTACATAGCGATATGTTTTAACTTATAAAAATCTACAAATTGCACATTCTAGGCCGCAAAGGAAATCTACGAACTATGCACACCTCGGTTTAATAAATTAATATAACAATAAATTTCATAGAGTACCATGTACACAGCATTCTGTTTAAACTTTAAAAAAAAATCTACGACTTGCACAAACTAGGCATTGCGCACAAATCAATAAAATAAACTAAAATAAATTATAAATAATTCAAAAAACAACAATAACAACAGAAATTTATAGTAAAAAAACAATTAACATAACATTCTACAAAATAAAAAGAATGAAATAAAATGCACTTACCATAATGAATGCTTCTTCGGACAGCAGAACGTAGCTTTAACATGCCGCCACATACTCTATATGGTATTTATATGACAGCCAGACTCGCTATCCACAAAATTCATACTATGGTTCACAAATAAATGTTGAAAACCTTCTTTTCCTAAATCCTGGTAAGATTTCCAGCCATCTGAAAATATAGTTTCACAAGGCTCAATCCACTCTTTAACCCTTAGTGCTTCGTTGGCTCCGTCACGGGGCCATCCGTCATTTGTTCCATAGCTCCGTAGGCTCTGCTGCGGATCCAAATGCTCTTAACTCTGTTGACTTCGCTATGGAACCATCCAGAGTTTGTTCTGCAGCTCTGTAGGCTCCGGTGCAGAGCCAAATGTTTTTACCATGATTACGCTTAAGATGCTGCGGTATCATCGGCATTGACAATTGTTATCTGTAGTTAAAATGTGCTCAGTCTCTGTACTGTTACAATTAAACCATATTTTGACTTTTTTATGGTTAGCAACATGGAGAAAAATAATTGTTGTGATGAGAATTTAGAATTGAGTGATAGTGAAGATGTGTTTGATTTTAAGGCATTAAAAGATAATGCCAAAAAAAAAAATTAATTATAATTTTGACACTTCATGTAGTGGTTCCGAAATTCTACTACCAAAGGGACAACGAATGAGAATTATTGAAAGTGAAGATGAAGATTCGCAGGAAGACTTCGATGTGCCACTTGCTCAAGTAAACCCAGGATGCACATAAGAGATTGTTTTCAAAGATATCACACCCTGGTGAATCAGAAAATTTAAAATTTATCTTTCATTTGCAAGAAGAAAGTGCATATGCATAAAATAAATAAAATTTAAAATATTCACAAGCACATGTAATTCTTTTCACTTAAAATAAGAGTCTGTTCCACTGTGAAAATGTGCCGGAGTTGCTGGTAGGCAGCGGTACAAAAATGTTTGGAGCGCTAAGGGTAAATACATTGCATCAGCGTTTTCTAACATCTGTCATGCACAGCCACTAAAAATAATCTCCCAGACCCTCTTGCAACCTCGTCTCATTGCAACATAGGCCATTTCAAAACACACGGGACACGATTCAACGAACAATTAAACCACTCCAGCAAAACAGTTTTCAGCATCAAAAGGATGTCCATACAACATGCAATCTTGCCAAAAACCTGCACAGAACACATATCACCACATTTGGTGATCTTAGGACGCATATAAGAATAAAGCCCATATAGTCAAGTTACTTTTTTTTTTTTTTTTTTTTTTTGCCAAATTGGTAGTGTGAAATGTGTAATATAAATGCATGTGTAAGCAGTACTTAGGTTTTCCAAATGGTACAACCTAACTTAGAAATATGTACAGTAAATACTAGTAGCACATGCTCCTTTAGTATTAGTTTATTTTTCGAATTAGTGTATTCTAGTGTAGAAATCTCTAACTGTTAGCCTGTTTCATTTTATGCATATTAAGGACAGTTAAGAAAGGGGAGGGATAATTATCTGAAATCAAGAAATATATGCTGGTTTATTCAAGAACTTTAAGGGCTGGAGAAAACTAGAATGAAGACTAAAAGTTAGACTTGAAAAGTATTAGTCTTGAATAAATTTTTTAACTTCAAATGCATACATCACCTGTACTATTGACCCTAATTGTCTTAATTTATCTATTATTAAATTATAACTTCATAACTGTAGATATGTACAATGAATTAATTCTTGATTATTTATGCTTCATGTACTGTTGAAAATAATTACGAGACCATTTTTAATGTTAACAGGGGGAAGCTGTGTAATCTTATGTAAAATCTTATGAGTACTTCAAATCTAAAGATTTTATTTGTACTTCAGATTCATTGCAGCATGTTAAAATGTAATGCATAAACTAATTTCAATGTCCCATACATCTGCCACGCAAATTGGATCACCATCTTTGAACCAGTGTCTAGAATCCAGTCCCAGTTTATTAGAACTCATTCCAAGTCTGCTTCTCAAATTTAGAAAATTTATTGTAGCTACTGAAAAGGCCTTTTTTTGCAAGTGAACTTTTGGCTAGAGGAATGAAACTATTTGAGATTCTTCTGGTGGAAGGATAGCAACTGTAAAGAAATTAAGGTAATACAGCACAGCAGAGTGGTCTTAGGTGTAAAGAGCAGTCCTTTTCTTTTGTCCTGTAAAGAGCAGTCCTGGATTATCATTTGGGAAGATATTTGATTGATGCCCGATATAATCAAGATTAGGCCAATATCCTTCTTTTGAGTTTCTATGTTGGTAATTTAGTGACAAACTTAAATAATACGTGATTATTACACTTCAGTGAGATGTCTCAAGTCATACTGGGTGAAGGAAAATTCAGTTTGAGAGGTTGGCAGTACATCAATGATAGTGAGCCACGATCCTTTGTTTTTGTGTTAGAATTTTTGTGGTATAAGAAAAAAAGATATGCTGATAATAAATCTGGACTGGTTAGACAGCTATAAATTTGAAACTTTGTCCAAAAAAATAATTCCTTCGGTCACTCTTAAGGTATTCAATCCTGTTGGTTTATTATGTCCTATTTTGCCGATATCCTAATTGTTGTTGCAAAGGATGTGGAATGAAAATATATCTTGGGACAGTAAAATCGATGCTAATACAAAATAGGAATTTAGGAGCTGGTTTTCAGAACTTCATTTATTGAAGAAAGTGACTGTATCATAATTTTTTTTGATTGATCCAAGCAGACAAAATATATACTTCTGCATACATTTTGGTTATTAGACCCACTTGGTTATCGGAACCTTCATTTAATTGACCTATGACAGAACAAAATTTTGATATTCTGTGGCCAAGGAAAAGGGAAAAACAAAATTCTGATGGCCATTCTTCTGTCTGTTCTTTAAGTAACTCACATACTTGTAGCTGCAAAACTGATGAAAAGAAAAATAATGAATGTAGACATTATGGATCAAGTTGGTAACAATATTAATTTTTCAAGCTGTGGACAAAGTGATTTGATTGATTGCTTGGATAAAAAGATTATTTTTAGTTGTCTAAGTGCAAAGTCTCCAGGAATTTTTGGAGAATTATCTTACAAAGTTAGATCCGGAAAAGAAGGTCATATTTTTAATAAAACACGAATATTTTTCTGATCATTTAAACAAAAAAACAAAACAAACAAAAAAAAATTAAAATCTTTGATAACATACAAGGATGAAGAAGGAATTATTAGACTGAAAACAAAATTACATTTCCGAAGGATACAGAGAACTTTAAACAACCAATTGTTGGGAGAGCATTTGGTGTCAAAAGGTTAATTATGATAGAACATTTGAAGAACTTTTATGCTGTCTGTCAAAATGTTATTGGGTATTCTAATAGAACATTATTGGATTTTAAAATGTGAAGGAAGTTATAAGATCTCTTTTATCCAAACGTTTTACTTGTTAAGATTTGCAAATAGAAATTTAACAGTACAAATTTCTGCATTACTAGAAAATCAATGGAATGGATACATCCATTTTTGAAATTTTCATAATTGATGTGGCTGAGAACCTGTGTATTTAAAAGAAGCAAAAGCTGGGATTTGCATATATACATGTGCAGAGTTGCCAACTCTCCCGACTTAGGCGGGAGACTCCTGATTTTCGACCGCTCTCCCGCCAACCCGATTTACAATATATTTCTCCCGACTTTTTCTTATTCTTAATATTCTCACGATTTTTATGGAACTTGGCTTAATACTTCGTTATATGAACAAAAAAAAGTGATTTGGACGTCTGAAAGCAACTGAATTTTCTCTAGATTATATCTAAAATGAAACCTTGCGAATCAGATGAGAATTCTGCTTTGTGATTGACAGCCTACGTATCCAGCAACGTCGTTCTCCAGTTGTCCAATGGGCATCGAGCTCCACTGCGTGTCATCTGGCATATATTATCCAATGAGCACAAGCAAGCTCAAGGCCGTTGGCCGTTCTTTGGATGTTCTTTCGCTATTCGTTCATCTGTCATGAGTGTGTGGAGTAAACGTGCCTTAGGAAATAGTTTAGAAATTATCGTCTTTTGATATGTCTGCGAGAAAGGTGAAATAC